CCGGTTTGGGCCCGGGGTGAGAGGGACGTGTCGCCGGGGCCGCTCGGACGTATTCCGAGGCGGGGCTCGGTGGCACGGGGCCCTCCGGAGCCGCTGGGACGTTTCCCAGGTCGGGGTCCGGAAGGTCGCCGGCAGGGGACTGTCGCGGTCCCGGGCAGTGTCCCGGACCCGGCAGTCTGCTCGGACGAGGGGTGCCTGAGGGAAGTAACGACCCCTGTCGCGCCCCGTGCCGGGGGGCCCACGTGATAGCCCACGTGTCCTAGCGTGGACTACCCCCCGGCGGTAGACGCAGCCATGCTGGTCGCCGCGGCGGGCGGGGTGAAGGGGGGGCGGGCTTCCCCCGACACTCCCGTCTGTCCGCGGGGCCCCCCGGCCTTGGCAAGCACGCGCGAGGTATCCGCAGGGTTGGAGCTGCGGAACCCCTGAAAACCCCCACGCATTGAGCGTGGGGGTGAGTAGGGGGCTGGAGCCCAGTGGCGGGGTGCGGCATCCCCCCGTCCTGTGGCATATGCCGACTCCCCCGGGGGAACCCGGGGGCCCGGGCTGCATCGGCGTCCGTGGTCATGTCTCGCGGTCGGTGTGGCCCGGTGGGGGTATACCCCGGTCGGCGGAGCCTCGCGCGGTATGGGGATGAAAGAGAAATGGATGCCTCAAACTCAAACACAACCCCCATTTTGGACGAGGAGGAGGTGAGGGACGGCGGCAAGGCGGCCGAAGATCTGCCGCAGCCGCAGCAGAAGGTCGGAGAGATAGCCCCCCACTTCAAGGGATCAGCGTCGGCCGGTCAATCCCCGGCGGTTGCGCGAAGACTCACAAGGTCGAGTGCAACCGGCCCCTTGGGGGAGAAGATCAAGCCGTGCTTTGTGAGTGTGGCGGCGATGAAGCTGCAGCAGGAGTTGGACGCTGGACTGGCAGGGGTTCAGCGTTCAGTCACTGCCAAGAAGAGGAGCGCCAATGCGCCTGTCGAGTCGGACGGAGACGCAGCAACAGCGGCCACCCGGAAGGACTCCGACGTGCTGATGTCGCAAGACGGGACGCGAGATGGGCGCTCGGAGACCTCGGACGGACGAGTCCGGTCTAAGGCTAAGCGCTCACGTAGCCAAGCCACTGGATCGGGTAGTTGCGTGGGTCTACACGGGGCCAGAGTGAAACTCCATGAGCAGGAGTACACTGACATCGAGCGCGAGGGGGAGGAGGATTTTCAGAAGCGACAGGCTGAAATAGCAGCTGGGATAATCCCCAAACCCCCTCCAAGGCCCAGAAGGGGTCTTAAGGAAAAGAGGAGCGCGACGGACGGTGGTGGACCGGGGGAGGACCTCGCGGCCCTCGAACCGGACACACTTCAGCGTCTGCTGATGGCTGCGGCTTCGGTCCGCAACGTCCAGTCGACCTCCGGAAACCTCAAGGGGACCCATAGCAGAGCCCTTAAAGACGCGGCATGGGACCTTGAGGAGATAGAGGAGAATATCCGTCGCGGCACCATAGCCGGAGAGCTGAACCGCCTCCGAGAGAGGAAACATCTCCTGGAGGGTAAGGTGGCTAGCCTAGAGGGGGAGGTCGACAGGCTCCGAGCTGAGCTGGGGGAACTGAGGTACGCTGGGATACCCAAACGGCGGGCTCGCGTTTCTCACTCCTCCTCCTCGGATATCGTCGAGCCGGAGGCCGGCGGGCGGGCGATGCGGAATAAGCGCTCGGGTAAAAGAGTGGAATCAGCCCAGCCCTCCCCCGCCACGACAGTGCGGGGGGGAGGTGGCAGGGCGGGTAGAGAGGAGACACGGTCCGGCGTCGTCGAGCGGATGCGGGCAATGTTGGAGGACACGTTGGGCCCCCTAGTCATACGGATAGTGGGCCCGATGTTGGACGCGAGGATAGACGCTATAAGGGACCGTCTGTTGCCGGAGCAATCCTTCCGTCCCCCCTTGGGTAAATCGGGCCCTGAACAGGGAGTCGCGCAGGGGGAGTCCACTCGGGTCCAGACAACGGGCCCGAAAAAGGGTGAAGACTCCCAGGGGGTCCCACAGGCCCCAAAAGGGAAGTCGAAAAAGAAGAAGAAGAAGGGGAGGGGGGCGGGAAAGGCGGGTGCCGCCTCTCGCCCCCCCCCTCCCAGCAAAGGAGAGGGGGGTGGGAGGAGCGGGCGCCGCCGCCAGCCCCCTTCCCCCTCAGCAGCAGCAAAGCGGGAACCCTGCTCTCCCCTTCCCCGACCAGAGGGCGACGTATGCCCAAAGAGTCGCACTGGCGGGGGGGAGCAGCGGGGCGGCTGCCGCAAAGAAGGCCACCGGGACCCAGGAAAGCGACAAAAATCTGAGGGGGCGGTATCGAGGTCACGCAGGTTAATCTCCGCTCTGACCATCGACTTCGCCCCCGCGTATGAGGGAGACTCCTCCCCCTTCCGCGTGAGCACGACAGCCGTCGTGCGGAGGATGTCCGAGTTGGAGTTGTATCGGTGAACTCCATTGGACTCGGCTCCACATGGGTAAGGTGTCCAGTAGCGGCGGCACGTAAGGCCTCCGCCGCTGGACGAATTCTCGTCGGATGGGTGTCCGCCCGCATTGAGGCGCTGGAGCCAAGGCCGCTCCAGTGCTTCAAGTGCCATGGGCTTGGCCACACCAAGCCACTATGCAAGGCGACGGTGGACCGCAGCAGCGCCTGCTTTAGATGCGGCGTTGCGGGACACCGGTCGGCCCAGTGCTCCGAGGCTCCCCGATGCACACCGTGTGCAGATAGTGGGAAACCCTCGGAACACAGAATAGGCAGTACCGCATGCGGGAGCGCTGCTTCTCGCAAAGGCGGGAAGCTGGCGGTCGGGGCCGGCCCTTCCCCTTCCAAGAAGGGGAAGAACAGGAGGAAGAAGATGAGGGGCCGGTCTCGGTCGACCAGCAAGCAGAAGGCCCCCTCGGGGGCGGGAGGGCAAGACCTTCAGGCCGTTCCTCCCGCCCCTGAGGCAACGTGCGGGACCGGTGGGGGGGTCACGGTGGTGCCAATGGAGACAGACGCCGTCCCCCCCACACCGGCTGCGCAGGAGGTGATATCGCCTGAGGGGGCCCCTAAAACGGGTCCCCCAGAGGCAACAGATGCCCCCGCGTCCTGCGGGGGCACGGATGTGGAGGCGCCTAAGGAATATGCGCCTGCCGGTGCGGGGACCCCTTGGGTGGACGAGCCTGGGATCCTTGCGCTGGCAGAGGGAGAGGGAGTGTCTGCTGCCGGGGAAAGGTCTACCCCGGCGGCTGAGGACTCTCCATCCGGCGTCCCCATGGACGCGGATGAGGATGGTCCGCGGGAGGACGCGACGGGGGTGGTATAATTCACCCCCCGTCGGGTCCTCTTGGTTAACGTCAACCACTCCGGCGCGGCTCAGGACCTTGCTTGGCAGGTCGCGGTGGAGTGGGGGATCGATCTGATGGTGGTCACCGAGCCGTACAGGGTCCCAGTGGGCAGCCACGGGGACCTTGACCGCACGGTGACCTTTTTCGAGAGGAGATCCACCGGCGCACTGCCTCTTGTACCCCTTGCCAGGGGCCGGGGCTTTGCGCTGGTGGAATGGGAGGGAATTGTCGTGGCCGGTGTCTACGCGCCGCCGCGCCGTCCTCGCCAGCAATTTGAGGACACCCTGGCTGATCTTGGGGCGGCGTTAGGTCCGCACAGATCGGCCAGGGGTGTTCTGGTCCTGGGGGATTTCAACGCTTGGTCTACGGACTGGGGTTGCCCCAGGACCGATGTAAGGGGCGAGGACTTGGCAGAATGGGCGGGGGGGGAAAGCCTACTGTTAGTTAACAGTGGGTCGACCCCCACCTGTGTGCGGCCGCAGGGCAGTTCGATCGTGGACATTACGTTCGCGAGCCCGGCGGTCGCGCAGCGGATCAGGGGCTGGAGGGTGCGGGAGGAGGCGGAGACGCTGTCCGACCATCGTTATATTACGATGGAGCTCTCCGCTTCCCCTCAGTTTACGGCCCCCCGGTCCCGCCCAGGACGCGGCGACAGCCGGCCACCCCGCTGGACGCTCAAGCGGCTGGCTGAGGACGCGCTGCTTGCCGCCTCCATCGTCACGGAGTGGTGCAGGGATGGCACTGCTCCGATAGGGGTGGAAGAGGAGGCAGCCCGCCTGCGCGAGGACATGACACGTGTATGCGACACGGCCATGCCACGCGCGGGCCGGCCGCCACCCCGGCGTGAGGTATACTGGTGGTCGCAGGAGCTCGCTGAGCTCCGCGCACAGTGTGTGCGCGCGCGACGCCAGTACGCCCGCGCCCGTCGCAGACGTCAGCGCGACATGGCGGTGGAGGAAACCCTGCAGCAGTCTTACGTGCTTGCACGTGGGACTCTGCGGGGGGCAATAGGCAAGGCAAAGGCCCAGGCCTGGGAGGACCTCTTGGGGACTTTAGATAAAGACCCCTGGGGGCGGCCCTATAACATCGTGAGGGGGAAACTCCGCACGAGGGCGCCCCCACCCAATGAGGTTCTCCCCCCCCCCCAGGTGCTGGAGAGGATTGTCGCCTCCCTCTTCCCGGAAGGGGAAGGGGAGTCTTCTCCGGCGATAGTCGCTCCGGAAGGGCAAGATGCCCCCGATTGGAGCGATGACTTGGGGGTTACAGAGGTAGAACTGGGGATTGCCGTCAGGAGGCTACGGGCGAAGAACACCGCCCCGGGGCCGGACGGCATCCCCGGTAAGGCCTGGGTTTTGGCGCTGCGCGTCCTCGAGGGCCGTCTCAGGCAGCTGTTTACCAGCGGGCCCGGATCTGGCGGACTGCCAGTACGGGTTCCGCGAGGGCCGCTCGACAGCCGATGCTGTCTTGAGCCTTAAGGCCCTCGCGGACCGGGCTGTCTCCGGGGGGGGGGAGTGGCGTTGGCTGTCAGCCTTGACATTGCCAACGCCTTCAACACCCTCCCCCCGGGGAGTATACGGCGGGCCCTGGAATATCACCGGGTCCCGCTGTATATGCGGGAAGTCATACGGGATTTCCTGCGGGATAGGAGCGTATCGCTCATGGGACGGGGAGGCGTGCTCACGAGAGAGGTGCGACTCGGGGTTCCGCAGGGGTCTGTGTTGGGCCCCGTGCTGTGGAACCTCGGGTACGACGTGATCCTCCGTGCACGGCTCCTCGCGGGCCTCCACGTCATCTGCTACGCAGATGACACGTTAGTGGTGGCCCGCGAGGAGGATTGGACGAGTGCTGCCCGGCTGGCGAGAGTCGGCGTGGACTTGGTCGTTGGCCGAATCGAGGGGTTGGGACTCAGGGTGGCCCTAAGCAAGACCGAGGCCATGTGGTTACATGGCCCTCGACGGAGGCCGCCCAGGATGAGCCTAGCCCTTCGGGGGGACCCCCCGGTCGAGGTGGAGGTCAAGGGTACAATGAGGTATCTGGGCCTCCTCCTCGACAGCCGATGGCGCTTCGAGGCGCATTTTGACCGCCTGGCCGCCAGAGTCAGGGGGGAGGTCGGCATGTTTAGCCGACTCCTCCCCAACATTGGCGGCCCTTTCGACAGGTGCCGCCGCCTCTACTTGGCGGTGGTGCAGTCGATAGTGACCTACGGGGCCCCCGTGTGGCACGCACACCTCAGTGCCAGCCGTCGCTACCGAGATAAACTCGGTGGCGTGCAACGGCAAATGGCGCTGAGGGCCGCACGGGGGTACTGCACCGTCGCCTTAGAGGCGGCGAGAGTAGTCGCGGGGTCCCTACCTTGGGACCTCGCGGCGGAGACCCAGGCGCTACTGTACCAGTGGCGCCAGGACCTTCGCCGAGAGGAGGGGCGACCACCAGCCCCTCAGGCGGTCGTAGCGCAGAGGCGCCATCTCCGGCAGCGAACGCTCGGCATCTGGCAGCAGCGACTGCTGGAGTGTCGGGCAGGGGTGCGGGCTGTCGGGGCCATCCGCCCGGTCCTCGCAGACTGGGTGGATCGGCGGCACGGGCGGGTCACGTACCATCTGGTGCAGGTCCTCACGGGGCACGGTTGCTTCGGGGACTACTTGCACCGGATGGTACATAGAGAGCCAACGGCTGAGTGCCACGAATGTGGAGCAGAAAGGGATACGGCGCAGCACACGCTGGAAGAGTGCCCAGCCTTTGATGTGCTGCGCCGTTCCCTCCGGGAGGTGGTCGGCCAGGACCTCTCGCTCCCGACCGTCGTTGCCAAGATGGTCGGCGACGAGGGGGCCTGGTCGGCTATGGTCGCCTTCTGTGACGTGGTCATGTCACAGAAGGAGGCCGCAGAAAGGGAGAGGGAGGCGGATCCTGCCTCTCTCCCCATGAGGAGGAAGAGAGGGGGGTCAGGCAGCGATTGCACGCTCGTGCACCCGACTGACTTCCCACTTCCCCCCTCTATTTGCTAAGTCGGGGGGGCCTTTTGCCCCTCCTCCAAGGCGTCCGGGTCCCGCTACCGAATAGGCCCGGGGTATCACCTGCCTGTCGTAAGAGGCGACTAAAAGGTGCAGAGAGCCGGGGATCTCAAACAGGGATCCCCCAGCGGAGCCTGCGGGCACAGGGGACGGTGGTCCCACCACAGCGGCCCCAAGTCTGAGGTCAGTAGCGGGGCCCCTGCGGGCTGGGGGATGGAGCGCGGGGGCGCTCCACTCCCCCGGTATCGGCCCGTAGGGAAGGGCGGAGTACGGTGTTGCCCCGTACTCCGCCGCGGCCCACATTCACCGTGGGTCGCAGGGTAGGACTCTCCCCGAACACCAGGGGAGAGTAGCGCGGCCGGGTAACGGTAGTATACACCGTCTTCCCGGGACCCGGCCACGTATGCGCGCGAAGAAGACAACCGGGGTGGTTTTAGCGGCTAACGTGCACCGCATACCCCCGTCCTCCCCCCGGAGGTGCGGGGGATCCGAAGGGATTTCCACCTCGAAAAAAAAAGGGTTAGGTTAAGTCAGGCGTACGCCCCCTTCAGGAAAGGCTCCGGGACCGGACGGAATACCGGCCGCGGCGTGGAAGGTAGCCCTGGGGGAGCTCTCGCTGTGCGGATTGTTTACCGACTGCCTGAGGGAGGGCTCCTTCCCGGGGCTTTGG